GATGATTCATCTCTCTATATTCATCTTGAATATAGAGAGATAAATAGTTGAATACTGCTGCTTCTTTCCGTTTGGTTGATTGATAGTGAAGCATATTTTATATTTGCTAACAAGGTAATAACAGAAGGCGTTAAGCAACAGAAACCACACACTAACTTAGCATATTCAAGTGTTTATTAACCAAGACACTGCACTCAAACACTTCAATTAATAAATTCAACCTTAACAACACAGTAATTGATGAATACATATTAACATTACAAAATATATTAAGTTTAAAAAAATACTTTATGATAAATAACAATATTTCATGTTCAGTATCCACATGATATAAAACAATATTATAAAAAATGGTAATCCTTTCATAAATATAAATCAGTATCTCATAAATATAAACCAGTATTTCATAAATATTAATAAAATATTAAAATCCTTAAATAGATAGAAATAGACAACAGTACACAACAGGAAGTGGTTGCTATTGATGACGGCAGTAAGTAAGTACGTTCATACAGCTCATATAGCTCGTACAGTTACTGAGTTCCGGTCAGAGTTGCAGGCTGCTGAGCTTCAACACTGGGATCACAGCACAATCTGCCCTTCTTACTTTTGTGGATGATGTTCAGTATCTGTGATAGTGACTGCAGCCTTTCCTGAAACTCACTTGGCGTCAGTGACTTCGGACACGTAATGTAGTCACACAGGGAGGCATACATATTGTCCTCTTTCTGTTGGAGATAGAGAATATTGAATACTAGTGAACACATACACGCACACATGCATGTGTGTGTGCACACACACTCACACACACACACGCAAGCCTTTAGAGAAATCTGAATCTTACCATGCAATCTTCATTTTCAAATCTTCTTTTCAGATTAAAACATGGGTCTTGTTTGTAAGAGGTGTCAGGACACAGTTGAGCCAGGCCCTTACTAAAATAATCATGTGTGCATTTTCCCTGTTGATATGCAACACAGATCAATACATAAACAAGCGGCCAAACAATTATACTGAAACCTCAGCAATAGCACTATCTCTGGTTGAACATACATCATTGCACTTGTAAAATAATGGTAAAAACCTTGATTTGGGTAGTGTGATTTTAGTCCTACTCTTTAACAGCATTTTTTCATCACATTCAGTGTAAATAGATACCAAACATATTCCAATGGTCTGACATGGATCAATCATATTCCATTCCATTTCCATTTGAGGCCTGTTGTCAGACAGGCCTCAAATGTTAGACAACATTAGTCATTTATCTTCATGTGTACTGTGTTGAGCTTACCTCCACTGAGGATGTGACATTAATATGGATGATGGAAATTAGATGCTGTAACAGAGAAGATGCATGTGTTACATCACTTGGTACTTATCTTGACTGTCCAATTGGGTTTTAGTTAATAGTTATTTGAATAAATTCAGTGAGCTTCGCAGCTCACATCTAACATAACTTATCATCACATATCCAAAAACCTCAAATTAACACAGTGAAGTGCTCCCTTCACACAAGGAAGTGTGGGAAACATGCACAGAAATGAGAGGAAATCTGTCATAAAAAGAAGGAATATGAACTTACATGTAGTCTCTGTGCCTATCATCAGTGTAAAGACATTTGTCTAACTAAAGCAGTCAGGAAGGCTGACACATTAGATTGGAGATTATTGCAAGAGGATGTGGTAGATTGGTAACAGTGGTGCCATTCTGTATGTCTGTGTGCAGTCCTTTCAGTGTATTAAAAATCTGCACAAATACATGCCTTTCTGAAAAAATATTTTTTACAACTCAAGAATGTTCCTGACAATCTAATAATCTAATAACACACAGTATCCAATTATATAGTGTTATTGTGCTCCATGGTTGTCGTTAGGCCTGGGAGTCTGGGGCCACACAAATGTTTTATGAATAGCCCTAGATCTATTCATCTGTTATTCTAATCATGCATTAAAGCCCTCGAAAATAATATGACATTGTTGATCAAAAACAAGTACGTTGTGGTTCCTCTGTGTGTCATTCAAGCAGCAGATCTTCTTCACACTACTTGACAGGTGTGCATTTTGTGTGTGCATGAGAGAGAGATCACACCAGTTACATGGCTTGTCATTGCAATACACTGCATGAGTGTATCTGAAAATTGTGTGTGTGTGTGTGTGTGTGTGTGTAAGAAAATGTAATATTCCAATAAACTAATGTTAACATAACTACATTTAACTGTCAGAAAAGCATCGAAATAGAGCTTATTTATCAAAACATAATTCCTACAGAGGTCCGGGAAAAGCCCTGAATGTCCGCAAATCCTCAAAATGCCCCTCGCACAAACTAACTAACAGTCTTGTGTCCCCTTCCCCTCTCCTTGCTTCATCCTCCTTCGAGGAACATGTTGACACACCAGTGACCCCTACTTGCATTCAAACACACAGCAGTCATACTCCTGTCACTAGATACTACCAATATCTAGGTGAGCACCTCACCTTGAGAACCAGTTGCCTTGAATACATTTAATTGAGCCAGCTTCTTCAACATTGCTTTTCATCGGCAGTGAACATTCACCCACTCACCTCTAACTTGCCGATACACGCCGTGGTATCCTTCTTGAGTTCATTAAGTGCCAACGTCTTACACACAATGGAGGTGTGGACGTTGTGAACGACCAGCATCAGGACCAGACACCAGGTTGGAGAAACCAGAAAAGACACCAAAGCCATGGCTATCCGCACAAGTACTTGAGTTGAGCTTGAAATGCAGGTAGCCTACTAATAATGTGGAGAAATTGAGTTTTTTGGTTGTAGATTGCGGGCCCTTGAAGATGGAGAGTGTTGTAAATGATGCCCTGAAGACAGTTCTTCTGAAAGGTTTGACAGTGAAGCTGGTCAATTGCTGGAGCTTTTTATATATATTTATATTGGGGAATCCCTACACATTGTATTCCATTCGTTTGTTGAATCTGCTCCCACACAGGGCATTACATGAATCACATGAAAACCTCCGTGAGATCCCGCTGATAGTGTGGTTTGCCTGGCAAGATGAATTCTCCGAACCAACAAATTACAGTGAAATAATATCTCTTAAATATTATTTACATTGACATATTATTTACAACACCTTTAATCTAAGCACTAATTTCATCTTTAAAACATTGTTTAAAACACTTTTTGTGAGCACTTTGTTTGACTTTGTCATCTTTTGGAATGATAAAATACAGAGCACAAATGCTGCCCTTTAGACTGCACTACGTCAGACAAAAAGATAACAAACAGGAAGAAGCACACAGGAAGCATACATGATGCAAGGTAGACACCTTAATTTAGGACATTTTTTTAATGAATACACAGGGGATGCCTTTAGTGACGCATTAAAGCCGTAATACTATGGGAAAAATCTATGGCATACCTGTCTGATCTAGTCACTTTAATCTTCATCTGTGACTTTGCATTTCAGTCATTTGGGGAATATGTTGACCTTCTGATTTTTTTTTAATTTTACCAATAACTAAGGTACTTGATGCAAAGGTAGGTATATGGGTGCTAATGGGACCCAAGTACAGATACTGAAGTGTTGAATACAGGACTGAAAAAATTATCTTTACTGGTAGTAGAGTTGAGTAAAAAAAAAAAAACTCAAGAAGAGGCAAAAAAATTAATTAAAAAAAACCTCTACAAAATCAAATCAGCAGAGGTTGCCCTGAGAGGCTTGTGAAGACTGAGCAAAGAAAATTATGAGACAGAAGCTGTGTCCTAAAGCCTTGGACCCAGCTTGGATACTGAAGAAACCAAATAAGACACAGCTGTAACATATGAGGTTGATTCGAAAATATTCTACTGTTAGTCTTACCCTTTTCACAGGTGGTCAGTAGCAGGGTAACTAGTAACTTCCTGTTCCTGTCCTTTTAACATTAGGTCGGTTTTATTTATGTCCGTTGTAGTACCAGCACGGTCAATGTATATTGACTGGACTAGTTGTGTCTATACTGGTGCACTGCTGTACCTAAATGAAACACACCCATAATTAATTTGATGAGCTATACCTGTGTTTTTCCTTCTGTGAAAAGGGTCTATTAAAGCTCTCCTATGGCCCGGAGGATGTTCATGTCACTTGGACATGTCGGAGTTAGCAGTAATTAGCAGTTGACTAATTAGGGTTATCATGCTGGCCTTAAACCTTACTTAACACAACTCCATTCACTACTTTGGCTGACCATCTGTTTTAGTGAGGTTAAATAAATGTTTCATTATATTGAATTAAATTAGAAATTATGGAGGTGACTAAAACCTGACCCCATTAATCATCAGTCGCTAATTTATATATATTTTAATGAATGTAATATTGTATTTCAAGTGTAAAACATTAGGTTGTTATCCAGCTTACATCTTTGCATTAAATCGAAATGGGTTACTATAATTTCATGGCCTATGTCATGGCAAACCGCGCTCCTCACTCATCATCCAGATCTCACTGATCTGAGGTGCCATATAGGCTGCGGCTGGGGATGACCTGTGTGGGTGTATATCAACCATGACATAGATTACTGTGTGTATGTGTGTGTGTGTGGTTGTAGTAGTAGGAATTTTCTCTTCTTTCAATACTTGAACTTGAACTTAAAAGACACAAATTGTGACTTGTGATATATATATATATATATATATATATATATATATATTGCTATTGGGATTTAACATGCCAGAATGAAGACTTTTCTCTAAAAATGTATTACTTAAAACGCTAATTTTTGACTTTGTTCCTGACTTGACATACTCGAGCCAAACAAGTTAGCGATGGATCAGCTGAGCTACCCACTGTAAGACCTGTTTAGCATCCTGAAAGATGAGATTTACAGCTTTCATTATGTCTGGAAGGGAAATTTTCATTACCAGCAATTGAGGATAGAACTAGCAGAGACCACATCAGCACCGAAGATATCACACAGGCTTTATTGTACCTTGAAACATACACGAGTACTGAACAACCGCATGTATGCAAAGAGGGTGACTGACTTCCATTGTTGTGGAGGGGGTCTGAACCTATGATCTTCAGTTTACAAGACTGAGGCCTTACCACTTGGCCACAATGCTACACAATAACATGCGTTTCATGAGAGTTGATACTATGTGATCAACAGGGAACATGCACTTCTAAATATTTTGTTAATAGCCAAAATGGCTCAATTGTCCACTCAGTCCAATAAATCTGATCCTGAGATTAACACATATTGTGGTGACGGTAAGGAAGGAGTGAGACAGGAGCCCAGGTTCAAATGCTCACACAACTCCCGTGCCTCATACACCGCACGACTCCGGGAGTTACCTTTATTTTAGACACCCCCACTCACACAGAAACACGGCACACCTGACAAGCACAACTAACACTCTCACTCACGGTCATGAAAACACTGCACATAAGGGAACACACACACAATGACACACAATAACAACTCCCCAACCACCAACCCCAAGGTGATCCCGGGGCGCCGATAAAGTCCAAACCCCCACCAGGGTGCACCCCCCAGAACCCCTTGCGCCGGACCCTCTTAGGGGGCATGGCAGTGAGTCGCCACACAGCTCCCCCCTGAGGGGTCAGTCGTCCCCGACGACCCCCTCACCCGACACATAGTCCCTCAAGTGTTCGGGGGCCCGGCGGTGCCGGGTAGGCCGCTGGATCCTCCCGGGAGTGGCAACCGTGGGGCCAACGGCCCCGTCAGGGGCCGGGGGGCCCCCCGTTCCGCCCCCCGTTCCGCCCCCCGTTCCGCCCCCCGTTCCGCCCCCCGTTCCGCCCCCCCCCTCCTCCTCCTCCTCCTCCTCCTCCTCCGCAACAGCTGGGACGAGGGGGCGGTACGGCGAGAGCCTGTCCCGGTGCAGCACCACCACCCGGCCCCGTCCCGGCATCCGCAGGCGGTAGACGACCTCGGACACTACGCCAAAGATCTCCCCAGGCCCCTGCCAGTGGCTCCGCAGCTTAGGGCAGACCCCCCTCTTTCGCACGGGGCAGTACACCCACACCCTGTCCCCGGGTATGAACACTCGTCCCCTACAGCGAGTGTCGTAGCCCCTCTTCTGCCTCACCCCAGAGGCAGCCTGAGCCTGGCGGGTGTAGTCATGGACCACCAGCAGGCGATCCCTCAGCCGGCGGAAGTACTCCATCGCCGCACCCCCGGCAATCTCAGGTTCGGGCGGGGACCCGAACACCAAGTCCACCGGTGTCCGGAGCTCCCGCCCGAACATGAGGGCCGCTGGCGTGCAGTGACTGGTTTCCTGCACCGCCGTCCGATAGGACCACAGGACCAGGGGAAGGTGGCGGTCCCAGTCCCATTGGTGCTGGCTGGTGAGGATGGCGAGCTGGGTGGCCAGGGTGTGGTTAAACCGCTCCACCAACCCGTCGCTCTGGGGGTGGAGTGGCGTCGTCCTCGTCTTATGCACCCCCAGCCGCCGGCAGACCTCCCCAAAGACCTGGGACTCAAAGTTCCGCCCCTGGTCGCTGTGGAGCTCCTCGGGGACCCCGAAGCGGGCAAACATCTCCTCCACCAGCTTCTCCGCGGTGGTGGTGGCGCCCTGGTCCGGCACCGCATACGCCTCAGGCCATTTGGTGAAGTAGTCCATGGCCACGAGGACGTAGCGGTTGCCGGAGTCAGTGACCGGGAATGGCCCCAGGACGTCGACCCCCACCCGCTCCATCGGTGCTCCCACCAGGTACTGCTGGAGCAGGGCGTGGGAACGCTGGGCAGGCCCTTTCTGTGCCGTGCAGGTGTCGCAGCAGTGGACATGTAGCTCAACGTCCCGCCGACAGCCCGGCCAGTAGAACCGCCTGCGCAGGCGGTGCAGGGTCTTGGCGTTCCCGTAGTTCCCCGCTCCCACCGAGCCGTGGATCAGCTGCAGTACCTGTGGACGAAGCACACGGGGAACCAACAGCTGGAGGATGTCGCCCTTACCCCTAGGATCCTGCCACCGGCGGTAGACCACCCCGTCGTGGAGCTGGAAGCATCCCCTCTGTGAGTGGTAGGCCTTCTCATCAGCCCCCCGCGCCGACACCTCCGGCCAGCTGGGGCGCCGCCCCGCCTCCAGCCAGTCCCTCACCGCCGCCAGGGTCTCGTCGGCCCGCTGCTGCTGCTCCAACTGGCGCGCCGACAGCAGGAGCCACCCCTCAGCATCGCCAGCGGTCTGGACAGCCCCGGTGGCCTGGACAGCCGCCACCACCGGAGGCTCATCGGCCCGCTCCTCCTGCCGCCGGCAGTAGCGACACTCCAGGGCTGCACAGGGCCGTCGGGAGAGCTCGTCGGCGTTGCTGTGGAGGCGTCCCGCCCGATGCTGGATTTCAAAGTCGTACTCCTGCAGCGCCTCCAGCCAACGAGCCACCTGGCCCTCAGGGTTCTTAAAACTGAGGAGCCAGGTGAGGGACGCGTGGTCGGTGCGGACCAGGAAGCGCTTGCCACGCAGATACGGTTTGAAATGCCGCACGGCCAGAACCACAGCCAGCAGCTCCCGTCGGGTCACGCAGTAATTGCGCTCCGCCCGACTAAGTGTGCGGCTGAAGTAGGCCACCGCATGCTCCCCATCCCCCCCCCCCCTGGGAGAGGACCGCACCCACCCCCACGTTGCTGGCATCGGTGTCGACGGTGAAGGGCCGACGCGCGTCGGGGTACACCAGGACCGGAGCCTCGGTGAGGACCGCCTGGAGTCGGGCGAAGGCCGTGGCGCAGGCGTCGTCCCAGACGTACGGCCGGCCCGCCTCGATCAGGCGGTGGAGAGGGCTGGCGATCGTGGCGAAGTCCCGGACGAACCGGCGGTAGTACCCCGCCAGACCCAGAAAACTCCGCAGCTCGTCGGCGTCGGTGGGGGCCGCCTTGGCCGGGTTCGTGGCTATGCCCCGCTCACTCACCACGTGCCCCAAGAACAGCGTTTCCCTGGTCAGCAGGGAACACTTGGCAGGGTTCAGCCGCAACCCGGCCCGGCGGATGGCGGCAAGAACCTCCCGCAGGTTCGCCAGCGCCCCGCTGAAGTCGCGGGCATGCACCAGCAAGTCGTCCAGGTACACAACACAACGACTCTGGGGGATGTCCGCCAGTACCATCTCCATCATCCGCTCGAACGTAGCCGGGGCGTTGCACAGTCCTAACGGCATGACCCGAAACTGCCGGCATGACCCGAAACTGCCACAACCCCTGCCCGATGCTACGCAGGTCCAGGGAGCTGAACCAGCTAGACCCCCCGATGTAGTCCAGGGCGTCGTCGATGCGAGGGAGCGGATACGAGTCCTTCCGCGTGACTTCGTTGAGGCGCCTGTAGTCCACGCAGAACCTCCAGCTGCCGTCCTTCTTCACCAGGACGGCCGGAGCCGCCCAGGGACTGGACGAGGGCTCGATCACCCCCGCTGCAGTCATCTCGCGGACCTTGTCCTCAGCCGCCTGGCGTTTGGCCAGGGCTAGTCGATGAGGCCGCAGGCGGATGGGCCGAGCAGAGCCGGTGTCGATGGCATGCTGCACCAGCCCGGTCCGCCTGCAGTCCTCATCCCGAGCTGCAAAAATGTCCCCATAGTCCTCGAGTACCAGCCTCAGCTGTTCACTCTGCTGCACGTTGAGGCCAACCCCACTGCGCAGCCAGAGCGCGCGGACAGCCTCGACGGTCTCCGGGGAAGGGGAGGCGGTGGTTACAGGCCCGCTCTTACTGCAGGGCCGCAGCCGGGGCACCTGGTCCGTAACCCGGCGATTGCTCCGCTGCCCGCCAGAGCCCCTGTGTTCTCCCCGCCCAGACTGGAGAGCCACGGTCTCGGCGCCTACAGTAATGGCTGCTCCAGCCACATCCACCCTGACACCCCAACGGATCAGCAGGTCCAGGCCGATGATGCATGGGTCCCGGATGTCGGCGAGCCAAAACCCATGCACCACCTCCGGGTCACCCACCTGGACGACCAGCTGCTTCCTCCCCCTCATTCCGGCCTCCTGCCCCCTCACGGTCGTCAGGCGACCGCTGGTCGCCGTCCACCCCCCCGAGAGTGCGCCGGTGGTGCCCGGAAGAACCCCCGGACGCACCAGGGAGATGGTCGACCCCGTGTCCACCAAGGCCTGGCAGGGTCGGCCGTCGAGCCTGCAGCGGAGGTAGAGGCCCCTGGCGCGGGCAGGGCCGCCAACCAGAGCGCACCGACCATGGGGCCACTCCACCGCATTTTTCTGCCGGCCGAAGGGGTCTAGCCCGTGGTGCCGGGGCAGGGCAGTCACGGGCCAGATGGCCAGGTTCACTGCACCGGAAACAGCGCCGGTCACCTCCGGACGCACGTCGGTCGGGGGGTGGCGGCCGCTGCCGGGGGCGCTGGGCTGGAGTCCAGGCCTGACAAACCTCCTCTCTGTCCTCATCCTGCTCGCTGTGGTCCGCCTGCCGGACGCGAGGCCGGGAGGCACCGGGCGGCTGCAGGCTGGGTTGGTCGGATAGCTCCTGTTCCGCCCGCTCCGCCTCGTCCAGCGCAGCACCGAGGGTCGGGGGCCTGGTAAGGCGGACGTGCTGTCCTAGCCGTTGCGGGGCAAGTCCCCGAAGGAAGGCGTGCAGGGCCAGGTCCTCCCTAACCGCAGCAGGGTAGGCGGGGTACCCACGCTGGGCGTACAACAGCACGTCCGCGGCGTAAGCCCCCAAGCGTTCCCCCTCCTGGTGGCGGCGGCCGGCCAGCAATTCCCGGCTGTGGTCAGCGGCCGCCCGCTGCCTGAAACGCATGTCCAATGCCCGGGTCAAGGCCTGGAGGTCCCGCTGGGCTGCCGGGGCCAGGTCCAGAAGGACTTGCACCGCCGTCCCCTCCAACCCTAGGGCAAGCTGGGTGGCTGACTCGTCCCCATCCCAGCCGTAATGTAGCGCGGCAATCCGGAACTGCGCCAGGTATGGTTCCAGCGGCGTCGCCCCGGAATACTTGGGCAGCCTGACTCCCTGGGGGCGGTTGACCCCTGCCAACCGTGCGATTCCCCCATCGGCCACTGGGTGGTGCTGCGCACCAGTCGCGCCCGTCGCGACCGGTGACACGCCAGGAGCTGAAACGCCAGGCCATACCTCTGTCTCCTCCTCCTTCGGACGCGTTGCCATAGGCAATCCCCACTCGGGGAAA